AAAATACCCTTCCCTCATGTAGCGAATCATTTTCGGATCCCAATAAAAGGAAACGCCAGACTGCTCACTTCAAACGCCAGATCGCTACTTCAAAACAGCCCCTTCGAAATGCCGGACCGCCATATCAAAACGTCGGACTGCTCTTTCAAAATGCCGGACCGCCATATCTAAACGCTGACTGCCCCTTCAAAATGAGGGACCGCGACTTCAAAACCCCGGACCACCTAATCCAGCAAAAAATAATCACCGGACCGCCACCATCAAACACCGGACCAACCATTCCAGCAAAACTAATCGTCGGACCCCCTGTTCAAAATGCATGCCGTACTACCCTCTCCAATAAAAATAAAAATAATTTGTTATGCGAGGGACCGGTATTTTTATTCCAAAAAAAAAGAACATTTGTAAAGGGTATTTGCTAAGAAAAGTTGGATGGAGGTAAATGCATAAAAAAAAATCCATTTTGGAGGGGTTTTTACTATTTTCCTTTTTTTTTTTGCGGATAGGAATGGGATTCCCTAGGTGTGACAATAATGGAACACAATTATATGATGGCAGCCCACCATCACTAGCCTTGAGCCCACTCCTAGGCTATACAGAATAATAGTGTTTAACTGTTCGTAGTATGCATAGTGAATGAGAGGTTACAAACAAAGGTATGGCTTATTAAATGGTACAAAGACAAAATGATAAACATGAGGAATGTATGTTTCTGATGGAGCAGTAAACAATAGAGGAAAGGAACAAGGGAAGAATGGTACTCTGCATCTCCTAAAGCTTATCAATAGTAGAAAGAAATTGTCCCCTATGCAATAGTGAGTTTGGTGTTCATCGCTGCCAAAAGATTTTATACTCATGTGGGCGTATACTTCCTATTTGCTCCCTTAGATAAAACCTAATATATATTTTTTAATGTAACCTCTTCAACTAGTAGAGAGAGAGAGAAAAGAAAAAAAAAAGAAAAAAAAGAAAAAGAAAAAAACTGAATTGAGCTCTCACCAAAATCATAACTTTTGACACTATTTGAAGTTGTGCCTTATTTTGATTGTTTAGGGCCTCATTTTTTTACAAACCACACCCCTCTCCCCTCTCTCACTTTCGACTTTCACTTTCTTTATTTTCTTTCCTTTTTTCTTTTTGATAATTTTTGTTCTTTCACTTTCATGTAACCATTTTAATGTAATCTTTGACCTTTTGCGTTTTTCATACTTATTATGTAATTTGGGATTGTATATTATGAGACTATTTACTTTTGTTACAAGTACCTCTAGTCATCCAATTTCAAATTAGACAGCTTGAATTATGTTACCAAATTCAAGAAATTTGTCTTTGAAATTTGAACTCAATCAATAACACATAACTGCCCAATTTGAAGTCCTACTAAACAAGATTGATTGTGATGTCTTGTACTAAAAGTAAATGAGCTCTTTGTATTCTTTCCCACTTAATTTCATGTATCCCTATTCCTAACTCTTTCTCTGATTCCTCATCATTCTCACCGTTTGTCGTAAAAGGACGAATTGGCAGCCTCTTCTAGTGAATTTTTGAGGTGCCCCTTAATTTGATTGTCCCAGGGAGAGAGAATAGGCAAGTGGGCGAAAAAAAACCCACTGTCATAATGCAAACATGGAAGGAAACATGTCATAAGTGAAAAAGGCAAAATTCCGCACAAACAATTGAAGCAAACATGGAAGGAAAAGTAATTGGTGAGTAACCCAAGTTATGCATGACTGCTGCCCGACGTTTTTTTGATGCACTGCAATAATTAATGGGAAAAGTTTATATAGAGCCTAGGCTCTAAACAATCAAATTAGTACCTATATTAAAAATTTCACTAGAAGAGGTTATTTTGATGCTCAAATATCTTGAAATTGATCATCTTAACATTAAAATGCATGGACTTGAAAAAAATAGATTTTAAGTTTTGGAAAACGCCCGGCGGCTGTCTAAGTCATAGCAATGGGTTACTTCCAATTGGTGAGTAACCCGAGTGTCTTAGACTGCTGCGCCATTATGAAAAGTAATATGGAGTACTTCCAATAATTTAGTGATTTGAGAGTAAAGGTAGCAATGGGCCGGGCCAGCCTTGCTCTATCCAATCAAGCCACCAGTAATCATAAGAATTTTTGTCATAACCGATTCTCCTTTCTTTCCAGCCACACACCAAAAAAGCTTGAAGAAACAATCAATCAATCTCTCTCTCACTCTCTCATACAGATCTCGGCCCAAACAGTCTCTATTCGATACAAATTTGGTCACTAACACATCCCTCACGATGTTCGTTGTGGGGACGAATGGGAAATAAGGGAGATATCCAGGATGGATCATTTTTCCTAGATAGGCAATGTACACCATCCTTGCTTTGGATAACTTTTCTATAGATTGTATTGCCAACGTAACAGACCAAAGGTTAAAATTTTATTGTTGTCAAAGCTTTTTTCCAACTAATAGGGGTCGGCTACATAAATCCTGATCCGTCATTCTGCTAGATTGTACTGGATCACACCCCTAATGACGTCATAAGTCCATATCTTTTCTCACTACTTCCAAACGTATCCTTTTGAGTCTACCTACCTTTTTCCCCTTTTTGAGCCTTCCACTTAAACTAACTCACACCTCCTAACGAGTATTGTACTGGATCTACGCTACACATGATCAACCCACTGAAGTTTACTCTCTCTCATCTTATCGCCTACTGATGCCACGCTTAAATTTTCTCAAATGTATTCATTTCTAATTCTATCCCTTTTTGTCTTTGCACTATTCATTTTTTTAACATGCACGGATACTACCTCAACCTCATGTTAAGTGTGTCTAACATACTGAAGCCTTTATTGAAAAATAAAAACTCTCATCTAGTACTGATTTGTGTCTTCTAAATGCAACACCAAGTTGAATCCATATGGAAGTGGTCAGTTTGATGAATCTCCAAAAACAGAAACGTATAAAAGCATGTGGGTAGATATCTAATGTTCTTCCAAAAGCTAGAAATTCCAGATTTAGGGAGCGATAGTAGTAGGACTCTAAATTTATTGGTGTCTTGAATTGCCTAAGTTCTTGCAAAGATGTCCTGAATTCGAAGATCTGGCATCTCCTCCTAAGCATCTTGTGTGACTTAAACTAGAGGGCCCTTTAGTGAACTAATGAAGCTATCAAACTCGTTTAGCCACCTTTAAAACCTCAACAACTTGACTTTATTTCAGTCTCAATTCAGCTGTGCCCAGTTCCCGTGCTTCAAGATTTGCAAAATCTTCATACTAATTTACTCTTTGATGTGTGTAAAGGATGTAGGGTGTGTCCTCAAAGGCATTCCTAAACTCCAATACTTGAGACTAAACTCCATGCATAGATTGAGAGAATGGAGGAGAGCAGAGTAAGTGGAAGGCTCAAAAAGGATACGGAGTAAATCCAAATGACATGGTTGGAAGTAGTGAGAAACGATATAAAGATTTATGGCCTCACTGAATGTATGGCTCTTAATAGAGCAGAATGACAGACTAAGATTCGTATAGCCAACCGTATTTAGTTGGGAAAATGTTTTGACGACGATGATGGAAAAGAGTGGAGCAAGGAGCCATGACATGCCTTGAGAGTTTAGCCATTAGTTCATGCAACAAATTGAAAATGCTTCCTCAAAGCCTACAAAAAATATCTTCTCTTCAGGAGTTGGAAATCAGAAGCATTCCTTAATATTTTAAAGAAAGTGAAAGACAACATTGCTGAAAGCCATTGCAAGATCCATGTCATTCTTTTTTAGGAGGAAGCACCCTTTCTATTTATTTGTAATAGGATGATTACCTTTGCCAATAGTTAAAACTTTTCAAGTACATGATAGTAGTATATGCCCTCTCTCTCCAGTATGGTGGAGATCATGTAGCAACATCCATGCACTAAGTTATCCTCAACCACAGTCCTATTAGCTTGTTTCACACAACAATGACAAAACCTTGTCCTAGGAATTGCCTGTTTTCAAAAGTTTATCTATCACAGGAAATTATTGGTAAAATATACGCCAAGGTAAAAATATATATCAAAAGGTCGAGAAACTGTTTTCTATATTTTTTAAATTTAAATTTATCTAATCATATTTAAGACAACAATTATAAAAAATATCCCTTTATTTTGAAAAATACCTCTTTTTGAATTTACAGCCATACTATTTTCCACTTATTTTTTTAAACCCCAAATTGCCCTTCACTGACTTAATAGATATGCAATGGTCCTAAGCACCCACTTGGGTACTACCTAGTGGGTACGTGGGGCTTTCCATCACGGACCTAATAGGTATGTGATTGTCCCAAGCACCCACTGGGGTTCTTCAAGCACACAAATGGGTGCTTAAGCACCATCATGGACCTAATAGGTTTCTGACAGGGTATTTTGGGTAGAAAGAATAGAATGTGAAAAAAATAGCTATAAGCCTAAAATTGAAGAAATATGGGCATTTTTCAAATTATTGAAACCTATTGAAAATAGGGTGTAATTTCTATAAAGTTCCAACCTTAAACAATCCAATTAAAGTGCACCTTCAAATTTTATCATAACATTTATTTTTTGTGTAAAATAGTTTTAAGATTATTTAAAAATCTAATTTCATATCTAATTATAAAACTTTCAATTCTAAAAATAGTTAAAAACGAGTAGATTTATAAACATTTGAAAATCTTGAAAATGGACGGTCTCAAAATCTTTTTTTTTCCATGTTCATACATCTCGATGTCGAGATGATCAATTAGAGGGTTTTCAACATTAAAACAACCTTTTCTTATGGATTTTTGAGGTGCATATGTAATTCTACATTTTAAGGTTGCAACCTTATATAAACTTTGCAAATACCCATCCAATGCAATAGATTCATACCAGAGTCACGAGGCACAACAATCCCAACTTAAAAGGATCACATATTGTAATGTGCAAAACTTCAAATTACATAAGAATAAATATACATGATTGTCAGTTCAGCGGCCAGTAATTATCAAAATTTAATTACATAAAGAAAGTGAACAAGTTCAGTGACAAAAAAGAGGCATATCACCGGGCTTTGATATGAACATAGACTAGTACCAATTGAATGGGTGGCACATTCTTGAAAACCGATGATATTTTATATATTCTGACATGATAGTTGTCTAATAAATATGGCAAGTGATCTTTATAATAGAAACTTTTCAGTATGTAGATGCTACTTACCCTTTAAGCCCTTAAGGAGCCATTGTTCTTCTTGAACATGGAGTTTGCATCACTGTAAATAGCCACTGTACTTGAGAAAACCGCAAGGACCACCATGAAGATGCCAAGTATCTTATCTTTCTTTGTTGCAATGCCATGTTGATCCCTATAGAAAATGAAGAAAAGAAATTAGAAATTGCTCCGGCATACACATGCATCACTCCCCCACTCCCATCTCTCTATGTATTAAAATGGTGTATACATGGATCCATAAACTGATAAATATGTTTTTGCATAACTGCTTAAAGGAGTACAAGGATATGCAGGCAACAAGCTTTAAGACAACAAAGGCCTTGCTTCAAGCTCAAACCACTTGCCTACGGCATATGAAACTCTGACTTTCGGAGTTATAAGCATATGAAATGCCTTAGTAGGTCTCAAATATATTACATATAAAACGCACAAAACCAGAGTAAGTGAGAAGCTGTGCACGATGCAAATTACACATTAAAGAAATAAAAGGAAGGATTAAAACAACTCCACCATGGCATTACGTGATTGATATGTTACAAGGACACGGTGACACACGTGCCAACTTCCAACATGGACACAAAGTTCCAGACACTGCCCTTGAGAAATAGGAATGTCTGCCACATCCATCCAATTCCATACTATAGGAAGATAATGTTCTAATATAAGACACATGTCTAACACTAACACAAACATGCCAACACGCATGTCTAAATTGGGACATGTGCCTTATGGTAGAGTCCTGACAATCTTTTCATTTTTATATGCATATTCATTACAGTAAATTGTTTCATTCTAGCCCGCATGAAATTGGAGACTGTATGGTGTCCCTACAATCTCCACTGTCCAACAAAGTTGGACGGTGGAGATCTCATATGGGCTAGCAGGGTAGCCTACATAAAAACCCTGCCCATTCATAAATAAGATTTTAAATATTACTGAAATATTACTAATAAGAATTATTAATTAATAGTAAGAATATGAAAAGAAGCAAACCTTAACTGTTATTTAAAAAAAAAGAAAAAGCAGCAAAACTTGGTATATAAGCTACTGATGCATAATGCCAAAAACATTTTGTCGGCCAAAGAGGGACAGCTGCTGGATTGTGCACAGCTAATCTGAGCTGTGGGCCTCACTTCAATGTTTTGGCAGTCAGCAACAACCCTGGTAACCCTAAAGCCCATCCAAACGGAAAGGGAGAAATCTCTCTCTCTCTCTCTCTCTCTCTCTCTCTCTCACTCTCACACACAGCAGCGAGGCAAATACATGAGTGGTGGAAAACGGCTTAAAAGAAGTTGCAGTAATGGTGGGTTCTGTGGTCTCTCTTCGTGTTCAAACCACAGCTCAAACCTTATCCTTGCAAAAGAGCAACATAACCACCGTAACTCACCTACAAAACTGAATCACCTATATCTTATGGTTGTCCTAGAACTCAGACATGCCTTTCCAATGTTGGAACATCTATATCTCATGGTTTAGACACCCAAGTCTTACATATAGGCATACACGTTGGAGTGTCAAGTCATGCAGAAAAATTTTGAAATGGCCCCAGAACTCAAACCCCATCTCACATGCTGTGTCAGCCATTTTGAGCGTGTCTGATACAGTGCCCGTCTCTTACTCCGAAATGTGTCAGGCACGTGGTGTTACATAGCTTCACAGAAAATTTTCCTGGCGACGCATTTAACTCAAACCTAGATTCTTGCACCTTTATAATCTAACAGAATGTTTTGCACTGGGAACTGGCCCCCGTTCCAACTATTCATGGTGACCAATTTGTATCCCTTTAAAGAAATTGATATAAATTAACTCATGGTTTTAGTAATACAGCCCCTCTTAACCACTTGAAGCTGAAAAACAGCCTATGCATATTAAGAACATATTTCTATAGTGAAATCATCCTGAAGCCATGAACAAAATGAAATGATACTACACATATTACTTGATTCTATAGAGCACATTGCTGATGTTCAATTCCAACAGGTATGCTTAACATCCTGATTCTCAAGATGTCTTCTCCTTAGAGGTAATCCATAACACATTATCTTGTCAGAACTATATCAGTTACCTTAGGCTTTGTGCAAATTGTTTTAAATACAGTTCCAAATCATTCATGGTTCCATAGAAAAAAGCACAAAACTATTACCTTAGAGCAACTGCACCAGGGAAGATGAACCCCATGCAAACACCAGAAGTAGCTCCAGTAAACTGGAAGGCATCCCATATGCTAGGAATGAAGTTTGCTCCAATGAAGATGAAGGCAATCAAGGCCATATTGATAAGGGTAAACCTCTTGTTATCTAAGACCAGAGGTCTAGCAGAGGGGAAGAGAAGCTCATCCAAATTCAGCCGCAAGCCAAAGAAGGCGATAGGTGCCACCAACATGAGATGAATAGCATAGCAGATTCGAAGTATGGAAGTTAGAAATGAGGAATATGGGATTCCTAAATCAACGTCAAAGTTGGCTAGGACATCATCCAAAGTGGACTCCCCGAAAAGGAGAAAACAAAAGAAGCTGGTAGTTGTGTACACAACCATGCAAAGAATAAGAGAAATCCGGACAATAGATTGCATCTCCGAATTGTCCTCAAGTTCCTTGGTTATTGGATGAACTGCACCAATCCCAAGAAGATGGTTTTAGGATTATGAATTGAAGCCTTGTACACAAGTTTTAATCTCTTCTAATGATTCAAAGATGATATGTGGGATATATACGATTGTCACTATGTCCTACCGCTTTTGCACAAGTGACACTGCAAAACAGCTAAAATAACTAAACAAATCTAAGGAGAAGAACTGAATATATAATGTCAATGGAACAAGTATGGCAAGGAAGTAGATTGCACTGAAATAAATTTGACGAAAAAAATTTAGAAACTAGGAAGCTAAAATAAAGCATTTATTTTGGGCAAAAAACTTGCAAAGTTTATGCAGAAATGGCTCAGTTCAATGTAATTAAAAATCATTTAGCAATATCAGTGGAATTGAACCAATGGCATTCACGTAGTTCACTGAAAAAAAGAAAAGCAAGAACGGGTTTAAACTAAATATTAGAATCTCATGAATTTCACTCTTTTTCAATGGTAAAGATCCTCAAATGGAAAATGCTTCTGACCAGCATGAAAATGTATTTATGAAAACCCCAATACTCTCTGATAGAATTTCAGAAATTCCCAAACACTCCAGGATTCATGATTTAATTACGTCTGTGGACTAGTCTCAAACAATTTCCTAAATAGAACTTTTTGAGAGGCTTAGTCATAGCACTATTCATTTCTCAAATATAATTGCAATAGGATGATTTTAAGCAGGAGGAGGACTGGAAAGTGAAGGAAGGAAGATGAAGAACAACAAAGTACACTTGTTTCTCCAAACAACTGCAAGGCCATTTTGAGAACAAGAGAGGAGATTGACTCGAGAGCAGTCAACTCGCATCTTTTTAAAATGGGCGTAGCACCCATGTTTTTCCAAAACAACCACTAGACAATTTTAAGAAGAGGAGACCAAACTAGACTTGACTCAGAAGTAATCAATCACTGTTAATTTTACAACCAAAAAAGAAAAATATAGAATTTGCAAGTAAGAAAAATTCCAGCTTGCTTTTACCATTGTAATGGCAAATGTAGGCCGTGACAAGAACAGGTACAGCCGTGAAGAGCTTCAAGAATGATGCTACATCAGTCACATTTGGGAGAAATCTCGGCATTTCAGTACTTCCATTCAAAAATTTCATGGTTACAATTCCGGTGGTAATGATAACGAATACTACAGCCAGCGCAACTGATAACGCTGACGTGTATCTCAGAGAATCTGCAAATATGACAAGAAAATTATACTCTGATAAGAGTCCCTGAATTCTTAGCTGAGACTCTCTCTCTCTCATGTAGACACAAGTAAGCAAGTACAAACACACACATACACATAGTGATTCTGCGAAATCAACCATACTTATGAAAATATAGAGTATGTCCAGGTATTTCCAAACCTCAAAGGTCTAAAACGTAAAGATAAAACCAAGGCCAAAAGGATTATTATATCAGTTACAAAGATAAGATAATATTAGGTAGCATATACCGTAATAATAAATGCCAGGATTATTATAGAAAAATAAGGCACCATTTGATTTCCATGCCAAATTGTAATATGGACGAAAACACAATTTGACAGATTATGATTTAAGGGCTTAATCGTGTTTAATTGTCAATTTGGACAAATTGCAATTGGGTCCAAATTCCAATTTGGGTCCTCAATTGCAACCCAAGGCAAAACCACTTGGAGAGGTTTTTCGAAAAGAATTCCACTCGCTCCCCTCCCGCCACCCCCAAAAACCAAAAAAAAATGAAAGAAAAAAACCCAAGAAAAAAAAGGCCCATTTTCATCACCATCACCATCACCGCAACACTGCCACCACCGTCACACTTCTGGCACCACCACCATTGCACCACCGTCACTACGACCAGGCACCACCACCATTGCACCACCGTCACTACCACCACTATCACACAGTTGCCACCACCACCATCCAACCACACAATAGGAAATAATAATTCCAATTGGGACACACACACCCATACGACAAATGACAATTCACCAAACTGCAGTTTGGTCAATCAAAATTTTAAGAAAGCATCGTCTAATGATATTTCACAATCAAATGGTGCCTAATTGTGGCTTTGTAATTTTATTATTATAGAGCAGGTTTGAAAGAAAATAACAATATGCTTGCCTATTTGTTTCAAAGATGCCAATGGAGCAATTATCGCAAGTGATGTAATAAGTAGCACAAACGTGCGCCCATTCCACCAATGTTTACCAAATAATCCTTCTAAAACGCCAGAGTGATGCATCCCGCTAGAAGATGTTCCAGATAGCACATCACCTAAGAAAAAGATCTCCATAAATATTCTTTTATTGGGCAGGCAAGTCTCATCAAATGTTCATCTGCATAAAAGTTACAAAAAGAAAAACAGTAGCATTTGATTCATTTACAAAGTAATGTGATTTGTGCTGATCTTTTAGGCAATTAGGCAAGATGCAAGTTAAATTGTGAACCATCTATCAAGTGTTCAAAATGCATCTCCATCATGAAAGCGGAAACTTGTAATTTCAAAGCTTAGAAATATGCAAGTAAAGTCTTATTTTATTGAAACAAATGGGCTTATCTCAGGATATACTGAACAATGACAGAATGTTTTGAAAAACGACTTGGTAAACATTTTTCAGAAAATGAAAGTGTGGTCATTTCAATGTGCATACAATTTCAATGCTTGGGGTATCTAACAAAAGCCAAAAAACTCTGGTAATCGAATCGGATACTTCCTCAGTAGACACCATAAAAAGAAGGCCTATACTGAAAATCACAACCAAATGTCTATAAGCTAACATGATGTCATAAGGCTCTAGAGAGAATGGAAAACAGAAAAGATGCATATCAAAAAAGAGAAAGAAAAGTGTAGGTCCTAGCAAATAGGTTGACTGTCACAAAAGATGATTCAGCTCGGATAGACAACAGCCATTAAGGCACAGATAGACAAGCTAGTGTACACACACATATTGCGTCTGCATATGAGTATAAGCGTATGTGCACATGAGTTCTCTTTCATGAATATGTGCTTACTTATGTGTATTTCTGTGGGAACAATACACATTCTGAAGAGTGAAGACTAGCATGTAAACCTAAAAAATGGACAAAATAACCTCTAGTCATCAACTCTTAATGAAAATGGGAAACGAGAGCATACCAATTATGATCATGAATACAACAAGAGTCCCAACATTATTAATAATGATACATATTTGCAGAGCAATCTCTCCGGTCCTTCCAAATGAATCCCTCATTAAACCACTGTAAGTAACAGAGTTTGCAGGCTTGCTGAACTTTAACATAATCTTTATTGAAAATTCAGTCAAAAATGCCATGAATATTATTATTGCAATTCCAGGCCCAATCCCCAAAAGCTTCATTGCTGCAGGCAACCCCATGATTCCAGCTCCAACAACCGTCGTCGAAAGATTGAATACTGCACCAGAAAAAGAAGCTCTATTGAACTCATCACATTCCACATTATCAGAGTCACAATACACTGGAGGCAGCAATGGGGCCCTCTCATCTACAGTCTGCCTGCTTTTCTCATTGGATTTCTTCTCCTCGACGGGAGACAAGACTCCTAAAACCATGTTCTTCAACAACCAGCTGAAAAATTCAGCACCGGTGGCTGTAGATTAATCCGCGCTTAGAATCAAATTCAACAAAGTATCAATCAGAAGATTGGAAAAGTATAATTATGCAAACGAGAATTGTCCATCAAATAATTGTGCAGTAGAGAAAGTGAATGAAAACAACAAAAATAAAGAATTAGAATAAGTTCATGAAACAGACCATGCATAGTGTTCAGTTCTTAGTGCTTATGAACTGAATTATTATTTGAAAGTTGTGAAACCAAAATCAGTGTAAAGAATTAGTAACCATGGGAAAATTTCTGAAAAAAAAAAAAAAAGGCTCAAGGAAACCTAGACCAACCACTGGAAAAGAACAAAAGGAAGATCCATGAGAAGAAGCTTAAGAACTGTCTGATCCTTTGAAATTTAAATTCAAAAGAAGTTTGAGAAAATTTTATATCATACAAATTCAAGCAAAAATGCACACATCAGCGGAGAAAATTTTATTAACCCTAAAACCTGGTTGCAAATTCGGCTTTGACCTTTAAAACATTCAATACAACTAAAAATCGGTGATTGAATACAGAAAATAATTCAAAATCTTTTGAATGAATATCTCCCCACTGGGAAAAAATGAATAATTATCCTGATTCTTTTAAGAATCGGTCATGTGTTGCTCACTAGAACGAAATTTTCAGAAAAAATCTGCAAAATTTGTGTGAATTGTTGCCCATTTCGTTGGGAACTTTGGGAAGACGCAAGCAGCCGAATTCTGCAAAGTCCGAAATCAATTTGAAAATCAACCACAAAATTCTGGGGCTGAACTCTGAAGCAACAGTGACCTATAGTTTGGAATTTCGTCGAAATCTAAAACCTTAAATTTAGCCGAAATCTAAAACTCAAGGATCCAGGAAACATGCCAAAACGAAAGGGAACGGAGGAATATACAAATTTATTAATTTTTTTTTTGTTGTCGTTGTATTCACCTGAATGCAATGAGTGACAACACAAAAAAAAATAATGAGGAGAAAAGGAAGATTAGTTCTTTTTATAAGATGATTCTGCCGCCGTACACCCATCGCTCCTTACTATTCAATCCGTATTCAGTTCTTTATTGAAATGTAATGAACCATGAAAAATACAGAAATTATTTTTACGTTTTATAAACCCTAAGATATTTTCTCATTTCTTACCTTTTGGAGTGCATTTTGTACTGGGTATGGTTTGCATAGGGCCTAGGCTTTAAATAATCAAAGTAAAGTGCACTTACAAATAACGCTCATAAATATTATTTCAATTCTAAAAATTTTTATAATAAGAATATATTTTTATCTCTAATTATAAAATTTAAAGCTTGTGGATTGAGCAGATCTATGAACACTTGAAAATATTGAAAATTGACTGTCTAAAAAAATTATTACAAGATGCACTATTTTCAAAGCTTGGAATCTATTTCTTACTTCTATACATATTAAGGTAAAGATGATTGATTTGAGGCTTTTTTAGCATCAAAACAACTTCTCCTAATGAATCTTTGATATGTGTCCGAAATGGATTGTTTAGAGCCTCACCCTTATATATACTTTTTCCTTTGAAATTTATTTTCTTAACGAACTATTTTTAAAAAAATTTAAAAGGAACAAGGTTATGTAAGTTTACAATAGGTGCACTTCAAAAATCCATAAAAAAAAGTTGTTATGATGTTAGAAAACCCATTTAATTGATCATCTCAGCATCAAGATACATGGATATAAACAAGAGATATTTTGAACCTCAAAACTAGTGCATCTCGTAATACATTATCTAGACCATCTATTTTTATGTGTTTATAGATCTACTTGTTTTCAACTGTTTTTGAAGTTCAATTTTAAAATTAGATATGAAAATAGATTTTCATGCCATCTTAAGAATTTTTTATATCAAAATTGTATGTTATGGTATATTTTGGAGGTATGCCTTATGTTGAATGTTTTAATTTGCAACCTAATGCAAACTACCACCTTTTAAGAATTAGAACCTTTTAAGAATTTATAGATATGTTGAATCTGTACTATTTTAGGAGCTTTAAATTTTATAAGAAATTATATGCTATAAGACCATTTATTTTTGGTCAATGAGGTCTTAATTGGTGAGATGAACTAAGGTGAGAAAAACTTTTCGACCGGTACCCCTAGGTTCAAGAAAAACAAGAAGATTACAGGTCAAGGGAGGCGATTCCGAACTAGCTCAAGCAGCTGGGGGGTTTTCCGACGTGATCTATGAGGGCATCCACGCGAGCCAGCCCGAATAAGTCTCGAACCCACCTTAAATTCTTCTCTCATCGGTTGGTATACCTGCCCCTGCTCTTGAGCAAGGTTCCGAGAGAACGATCTCAAATCCCGGGTTCACTAGAAACCCGAGATACGTGCCGTCAGATCATCTAGATCCGGGTTTACTAGAAACCCGAGATAGTTTGGGGTGCGTAATAAAGTTAAAGAAATTTTATTTTAGAATTTTAGCCTAGTCAATGACACACCCCTAGCTACCCAATTACACATCTAATGGTTAGCTACCATCATTACCTTTATACCAAAAGTAAATAGTCTCATTGTATACTTTTGCATTTCGTAATTAAGGCCGGGTCAACCACATTTTATCTTATGTTGGTTATTTAAGGTTGACACTTTGCCCATATTTACCTTTTATTTTTATAAGATATTTATGAGTCGGCCGACACATTTATTTAGAGCAGTCCTCTTTCTAAAATCCATTTGAGAGATGGATTTTAGATTTAAAATTTTAAAGAGTGTAAATCTACACCATGATGAATATAAATTTCAGAAAATAATAATGAACTTAAAAAATAATAATATATTTTTAACATTATTAATTTATTTTGTAACATCTATTGGGATCACAGCTCTAACATTCATCGATGTTGAGTGTGTTGGGACGCTTTTATCTCCTCCAACACGCATTCTAAGTCTTTGATATTTTCCTCTCTCTAACTCCATTCTCACCAAAAGATAGGGCCAAAATCCCCACTGGCATACCAGTTTTTTTTATGAAAAAGGAGTTAGAGTCGTAGTGATAGCACCCCACACCCTAGTCACCACCTTGCGGATACCATTCCCACACCCCTAACGCCACCCCACTAATACCTTCAAAAAGCTAACTCCTAATCTACTTAGGTAGGGGTCTGTCTTCTCCATTGAATTACCCAAAAAAATAAAAATAAATAAATAAACCCCATGATTTCTATTCCTCCCTCTCTCTTACATGTTACAGGAATGAAGGTGGCGACCGACTGCAATGGCGAAATTTTAGCTGGTTCTTCTTCACTGCGTTGGTGGTGGTTGGTTAGCGGCACTTCTCAAAGTTGACCCTCCAAGTGTTACTAGTATTGTTGGGAAAGATGTACCCTCTGGTGCATTGTCGTGTTGCGAGAAGGATCCGCTCTTCTCCGAGACCCTCTTTTGATCCTCTGGCGAATGATTATTTGTCTATTGTGGTGATCAATGAGGGTGTAGAACCACAATTGTTGGAAGAAGGGGAAGTTGTACCCGAAGCCCTTGGGGTTTTGAGTGCAGAAGGGCCTGATCCTGAGGATGCTCATTAGGATCCTGGTCTTGCTTTGGTGGATATGGATGTTCCTCCCCACCGCCACCACCACCACCACCACCCCCTCAATGTCATACTACAGGACATGGTGATTGTGGGATGGACTTCAATTGGAGTGATTTTTAAAGCTATTCTCGCAAAGAAAAAGCTGGAAAAGAAAGGAAAGGTTGCTGATTGTAAAGAGCAACCAGGGGCTTTGGAGAAGATGCCTATAGAAAAAGTGTGGTTTAAAGGCACGAGGTATTCTGCGCGTTTGCAGGCCTGAGGAATTCTACCTCTTAATGTTGCGGCAAGAGGAGTTATATCTCTGATGATCATGTAATTGAAGTTAGCTCGAACTCAGCTGCTGGAGACGGGGTGATGGGTGACAGCTTAAAGGAAACGATGCTCCTAGAAGAAGTTTATTTTGGTTCTAGTAGGGATGGCCCAGGTTCCTCATCTGCTAACCCCTTTTAAATGAATATTATCTCATAGAATGTTCGAGGTTTGGGCGACCTCAAGCGTAAGAAAGACGTCCAATTTTTTGTGACTATGTTTAAACCTTCTATACGTATAGCAGAAAACTTAACTTATGTGTCCTAGTTTGTATGGTGTCAGGGAAGTTTAGAAACCTGGTTCAGTTGATTTTGTGGGGGTTAATTCTGTAGGTGCTTGGGGGGACTGTGGATTTTGTTGGATCGTACATTTTTGTAATATTTTTGCATTGTGAAAAAAGTTAATTTTGTGTTCATAGGTTTTTTGGGGCCTTTTTCTGACTTTAAATGGGGTTTGAAGAATGTATGTAGACCTCCTGTTGCTGCTCTTAAAGATATCTTTGTAAATGTGATGTCAAATGTCCTTAACATTTTTAAATATCCGATTTGTTTAGGGGGGATTTTAATTTTACTAGGTGGCCGGATGAGAGCAACTGTGGTGGACCTGTCATGTCTGCCATGCGTCTTTTTAATAGGTTCATTGAGGCCTACGCTTTGATAGATTTACCTATTTCAGACACAGACTTTACCTAGACTAATGGGAGTACAGTGAATTTGTCCATGTCCAAACTTGATAGGTTTCTAGTTTCTACAGAGTTGTCAGAATCTTTCCCTCTTACTTCAGTTAAAGCCTTACCTAGGCTCTCATCTGATCATACCCCTATCATGCTTTGCTCTAAGAATGTCTTTACGGGTCCTAAACATTTTAGATTGAAAATAGGTTGGCTTAAGGAGAAAGATGTGGTTGACATTGTTAAGAGCACTTGAGAGAACATTATCTCCTTTGGTTCTTTGGATTTTCAACTCCATAATAAACTTTTAAATATTAAACACAAGCATCTTGATTGGAAAAGGAGAAAAGAGGTTTCATATCAAGGGTAAAATTGAGGAAGTCCTGAGAAGAATTGAAGAGGTGGATGCTGTTGTACAAAACTCTGGATCTTTGTCTGATGAGTTGGTTTCAAAGAGATGCTCTAGAACAAAGGAGTTGCAGGAGCTTAGAAGGGTTGAGGAGGTGTATTGGAAGCAATGATCTAGAGTCAAGTGGTTGAAGGAGAGGGATTTGAATACTAAGTTTTCTCATGCCATGGCTAATTCACACACTCGCTAGAATGATGTCTCGGGTCTGTTGATCCAGAGAATAGTATTGGGATGTCTAATGCTATCATTAGTCATTTCTAAAAAGCTTTCACCTCTGAGATTAAAGTACCCCCAAGCTCAATAGAGTGGGCTTCAGAGTTCTCCCATCGGATTTGGTTTCTTTTTTGGAGAGAGATGTTTCAATGGTAGAATTAAAAAGAGCGGTGCTTTGCTTGTTAGGAGATAAAGCTCCTGGGCTAGATGGATACCCTCTCCTTTTTTTTCATACTTTATGGCGTCTGATTAGTAGTAAGCAAGTGGAGATGGTCAGGGGCCTCTTTAGGAGAGGAGAACTTTTTAAAGGTGTTAATTCCATGTATATTGCACTTAATCCTAAAAAGTATGGCATTGCTAACCTAGGTGATATCAGACACATCAGCCTTCTGACGAGTCTTTATAAAATTGTGGCTAAAGTGCTTGTTGAACGACTTAAGGTGGCTTTGCCATCCATTATTATTGGTCAACAGTCAACGTCCATTAAGGATAGAGTAATCAATGATAGTGTCCTACTTGCACAGGAATGCATTCATTTGCGATTTTTAAGTGGTATCCCTAGAATTGTGATTAAGTTGGACATGGAGAAAGCTTATGATAGGGTTGAATGGAGCGTTTTTTTGGAAATTATGAAGAATATGAGCTTAGGTGAGAAGTAGAGGAATTGGATTTTTGGATGTCTGTCATCTGCGCACTTTACCATTCTGTATAAAGGAAGCCCGAATGGATATTTTAGTGCTTCTAAGGATCTTTGTCAAGGTGATCATCTTTCC